CGGCTGCACGTACACTGAGGGCATGTGCTTGGCGTCTCCTGTGGGAAGAGGGGCAGGGTGAGCTCAGGTCAGGGGCAGAAAGTAGAGGGCATGTGTGTCTGTGTGTCTTAGTGTACCTATGTGCAGGTATCTGTGTGTCCGTGTGCATATGTCCATGTGTGTGTGTCTCTCTGTCCATGTCCATGCGTGCATATGTCCATGTCCATGTGTGCATGTCTATGCATGTGGGCCTGTGTCCATGTTGCATGTCTGTGCGTGTGGGCCTGTGTCCATGTGCATGTGTGCCTCTGCTCCCGGGCCTGCCATGGGGTCCAGGCTCTGGATGCCGTGTGTGGGAGGGTCTGGGTGGCGGGAAGGGCAGGGAAGGCCTACCCTTGGTCTTGAAGATGGTGTGCTTCACTGGCGAGGGCAGGTCCGTGTGGGACACTGTGCAGGTGAACTTCTCGCCTCCCTCCCAGTCCTCCACGCACACTGTGGCCTTTCCTGTGGCACTGAAGGTGGCGTTGGGGTGGCTCTCAGAGATGTTGACGTGGGTTTTCAACTCCTCGCCATTCCGGCGGGTCCAGGTGATGCTCAGGCTGTCATAGGTGGCCAGGTCCGTGACCAGGCAGGACAGCGTGGCCTCCTTGGTGAGGAAGATGCTGGCAAAGGTTGGGGGGATGGTGAAGACTCGGATGGTGGACGAACCTGGGACAGGAGAGAGGGTGGAATCAGGCCAAGGCGTCGACTTGGCCGAGCCCCTCCTGGGCCCTGGGGTCCTGCCGGAGGGGACACCGGGTCCTGCCCGACAAATGACCCCTAGCGGCGCTGTGGGGCCCCCTCCCTGCCCCTGGCCTCTCTGGGAAGCCAAGGCTCGGGGAGCTGCTAGCCTCGCCGGGGGCAGGATCTGCCCACCCGAGTGGACACCTGCATGTTGGGGTCTCCGCCCTGGGCCCTCGGGGCAGGACCACTCACTGGGGCCGCACATGGACGACACGTTCTTCTGGTAGACCAGCTCCTGGTGCTCCACTTGGCAGGTGAACACGCTCTGGCTGAGCCAGTCGCTCTCGGTGATGGTCAACGTGCTGGTGACCCTGTAGGTCACGGGACGAGCTTTGCGCTCGACCTCTGGGCTCTCCGTGACGAAGCCGGAGTTCAGCTTCTTCCCCTCCTTCAGCCAGGACACCGCGATCTTCTTGGGGCTGAAGCCCGTGGCCTGGCAGATGAGCGTGGACGTGCGGGGGCCGGGGCCGGTGAAGGAGTCGCGG